CTGCACTGGGGAGTCGGTTGCGGTCAAGATAATCCGGAACAAGAAGCGATTCCATCACCAAGGAATGGTGGAGATCAAGCTCCTGGATAATCTTCGCAAATGGGCACGTCTTATTTCGTTTCGTGTTTGCTTGCGATTTGTTAATTGTTTTTCTTTTGCAGGACCCGGATGAGAAACACCATGTGATCAAGATGACCGAACATTTTTACTTCAGGGGTCACTTGTGCATTGCGATGGAGCTGCTCAGCATTAATCTTTATGAACTCATTAAGGCTAACGGTTTCGTTGGCTTTACGACCGCCTTGATCAAGCGCTTTGCGAGCCAGATGCTGTTGTCCCTCTCATTGATGCGTCATCATCGTATCGTCCACTGCGATCTCAAACCAGAGGTCCGTATTCGTATTTCGCGAGCAGCGTTGCGTGTTCTGAACCAATAGTCCCAGAATATCCTGCTGCGTCACCCTGCAAAGAGTGCCATCAAGGTTATCGACTTTGGCAGCAGTTGTCTCGAGCATGAGAAAAGTTTGTGTTTGTTGTTCCCTCGGTGTTCGAGCGATGCTGACGGGTCTTTAGTATATACTTATATTCAGAGTCGTTTCTATCGATCCCCCGAGGTCATTCTCGGCATGAACTACCATATGGCCATCGATATGTGGAGTTTGGGTTGTATTTTAGCGGAGCTGTACACTGGTTTCCCTATTTTCCCGGGCGAGAACGAGCAAGAGCAGCTTTCCTGCATCATGGAGGTTCTCGGCATTCCTGACAAGGAGTTTGTCAACCGCAGCTCACGAAAGAAGCTCTTCTTTGGTGAGACCTCCTTCGCGAATGTCTTGCGGGGCCGTGACTGACCTCGTCTGATTTTCAGATCCCAATGGCGCTCCGCGTGCAGTCATCAACTCCAAGGGACGACGGAGGAGACCTGGGACCAAAACTCTTGCCCAGGTCCTGAGATGTAACGACGAGGACTTTGTCGACTTTATCGCAAAATGTCTGATCTGGGATCCCGAGCGGCGACTCAAGCCCCAAGCAGCGTTGAGACATCCGTTTGTGGCCGCGGGGAAGCGTCCAAAACCACCTCCGCCGTCGACGACACCCAAGGCGACGCTCTCATCGTCTACGTTGGGGAGCAGCCGCGTCAAGCAGGTGCTGGAGACACCCAAGAAGTCGCTCATCAGCGCTCCGACACCTCTCACCGCGCGGACAACGCGGACTACTGGGAACGGCGGTGTTCCGGCCACACCGAGCAACTCGTCGCAGCCTGCGACACTGGGATCATCGCGGTCATACCGAACGGCACAGAGCCAGGGTCTGTCAACATACCACTCCAGCCGGACACTGAATGGGATTGCCGTGAGTCGCGGTATTGTTTAGATTTGAACGATGCTGATGCACGGACAGACGACGGCTGGAAAATGAGCTATATATTTTGGGAGGTTTTATTATTCTTGACCATGCTGAGGAGTCCGTTCTAGACTAATTCATTTAAAGTCCTGGCTCATACCCGGTCTGCTGTATTCCCATATCTGCTTCTCTTGTTGTCGTTGTTGTTCCTAGTTCTAGCACGTACCTTAATTCTGCAATACACCTCTGCACTTTCGGATCATTGGAAAGCGGTGCACCCTTCGCTTTTTCGATATGTTGAAATCTTGTGTTCGTTCGTACTCTCGACGCGCTCCCCAGCCCACCTCTGCAGAACTCACCTTGCTTCTCCAACGATATGCTGCGTCTCCCCCGCTCCCCCTTGACCTCGCCTCTCTCTTGTCCTTTGGCCGTCCCGTAACACCCTTGGTTTATTGAGTCTCAGTCTCAGGCTTATGCGTTTGCTGCAAGGTAACCCCAAGCTCGGTACTCTCCTCTGCAACATATGCGCTCGCAGAAATGCCCCGCCGACTCGCAATGCGCGTGCGCTCGTTGGAGGGTCTCCCATTCATCGTCGGGACGAATCCCTACGTCGCAAGCACGCTCAATGCGTACAGAGACAGCTTCCAGCTCCTTGCAACGTTAGCAGCCGCTTTCATTTCCGGCGAATGCAAGTTTATGCTCTGTGCAGTTATCCTCCTGTAACGAATCTTGAGGAAAACCAAAAGTTTACGGAACAGCTTGAGGACCTTGTTCACCGGCACACCAATGATATTCCGACGATGGCGAAAGGGTGCGTGTTCAACGCTGCTGTTTCGCTGCTTGATATTAAATGACGCTACCCTACCCTCAGATTTCTCGAGAGCGCGAAATACATGTCGCCCACTCAAATAAGCAACTTTTTGGACGCCGCGATCCGCAACCGGATATCTGTCCGCCTCATCGCGGAGCAGCACATATCCATCGCGCGCGCGTTGGAAGCTACATCGCACGGGGAAGAGGTCGGTAATATCGGCGTCGTTGACATGCAGTGTTCCCCATCGCAGATGATCCGAATGTGCGAATCGTACGTTGCTGAACTTTGCTCTGCGACGCTTGGTGCGAGCCCTTCGGTCATCATCGACGGGCACCGCGACGCGACTTTTGCGTGCGTCTCTGTCTCTCCTCCATATTACGGATCTTACGAAGAAGTCTGCAGATACATTCCAGTGCATCTCGAGTACATTCTCACCGAGATACTAAAAAATTCATTCCGGGCAACTGTGGAGTTGCACAAGGCGGGCGCGCTTCCTCCTGTACGGATTACGCTGTCGCCGCCTCCATCTGGATCAGCAGGGGCTTCCAGCTCGCACTTCTTCTCGATACGAATCCGAGATGAAGGTGGTGGCGTATCCCCAAGCAATATGGCTCGGATCTTCTCCTACGCGTTCACCACTGCGAAAAGCGATGCGGACGACGATTTGGACGGAGGCGGCGGGCCATATGCTGCCCAACATGTTGGGGGGCTTGCTAACATTGGAGGCGGCGATACAAATTTATTCAATGAGATGACTTCTAAAGGACTACAAACTGGTCTCGGATCCATTGCTGGGCTTGGCTACGGTGCGTTATGAGATGTCCTTTCGTCTTTCAGCCTTTTCAAGTCGTTGGATTCAGGGTTGCCCATGAGTAAATTATACGCGCAGTGAGTGTTCAGTCCGTTTTCGCGGTCGGAAATTTACTATCAGCCACCATTTCTCAGGTACTTTGGTGGGTCACTCGATCTTATGTCGTTGGAGGGTTGGGGTGAGCGCTTTTTGGACTTTGGATGACCCACCATGCTGAATTGTGGCGTAGGCAGCGACGTATTTCTCAAACTCCGGTGTTTGAACGAAGCTGGAGACTCTAGCATTTGAGGAAGGATAATGTAATTGGACACCGGTGGATAACTAATGTATAGTACTTGTGAATACTACTTGGCCATACTTGGCCTGCTGTTGCGCTAAGATGGAACCTGCGATAAGATTGTGACACGTTACCGTTCTACCACCACCACCTCAGAAAAAATGTCGTCGCCGCCGCCATTGCGCCATCCGGTTCCGACGCACCCCGCATACATCCCTGAGCCGCCCTTGACGCCAGGCTCGCCGCAGGGTTACCAGCGCTTCGCCTCCTCTCCGCAGCCTGGCGGCCCTGGCCAGTCCAGCCAGCATCAGCCAGCATACGCCCCTGCACAAGTTCCCGCGTACACCTCCCCCTTCCAGCACCAGCAGCAGCATCCACAGCAGCCCCATGGCGGTCATGGTCCTCCCCAGCCTCCGCCCATGATGCAGCCCCAGTTTGGCGCTTGGGGAATGAACGACGCGACGGCGCAGTTCGGTATGCAGCTTGGCTCCAGCGCTGTTGCTGCCGGGCAGGACTATGTTCAGCGGACAGTGCGTACGTTCTATGGCTAACTGAACGGTCATTCAATTTTATGTGCAGTGGGGCGGCGTCTTTCCCGGCACGCGTGTCAAGCCGCATTTCAACGTGTCCAATTCCTATGTTCTGCGCAAGCTGCGGATTGTCTTGTTCCCGTGGATTCACAAGCACTGGGGACGCAATTCGCACCGCACCGATGCTGGCCAGACCGAGTACCTTCCCCCGCGGGAGGATGTCAACAGTCCTGACTTGTACATTCCTCGTACGTTCAGCCCGAGGCGCGTTTTTTCTTCTCATGCTCACCGCTTACTAATACAGTCATGGCGCTCGTCACTTATATTCTCCTCTGCGCGCTGCATTCGGGCCTCCAGGAGCGCTTTCACCCGCAGGTACTGGGCGAGTCGGCATCGCGCGCCATAATGGTCACCATGCTCGACTTTGTTTTTGTTCAGCTCGGCTGCTACTTTCTCAACGTGCAGGGCCCGAGCCAGTCGATTGATGTGATTGCTTCTGGCGGTTACAAGTTTGTAGGGTGAGCCCGCACTAGTTCCGTCGCCTTTTTCGCAACTCAGCGTCTTTCTTTCTGCAGAGTCATCGTTATCGTTCTCGCGGGCTTCCTCAAACTCGGCCGCACCCTCAGCTATGCGACCTTTATCTACTTTTCCTTTGCCAATGCATTCTTCTTGGTGTGTCAATAAAGTTGCTCTCGATATCTTGTTCCTCACGTCAGTGCCTCCAGATGCGTTCGCTCCGTTCGCTCGTGCTGCCCGACGCGGCGTCACGCGCTGCATCCGGCGACCCGTATGCGACTACCCCCTCCGCATCCCGACGTCGCCGGCGGATCGCGTTTCTCCTTGTCGAGGCGGCCTCGCAGATCGTTTGGATGGGGTTCCTGGTGCGAATATGAGACCTAGGGTATAAAGTAGAAACAATGGTGATATGGTACTGGATTAATATATTTGCCTTGTGTACTTGATCTATATATGTAGAAAAAGGGATACACATTTCGAATTGGGCCAGCCTGAAGTTCTAACCAAGGAAACAATTGTTGGAGGGTTTGAATCACTCATTGTGTATAACTCAGTTGCACTCTCTGCGACACTTTAAATCTTGGATCATTTTCGGTTTGGGAATCTGCGAGGAATCAAGCTCAAGTTTCAACCATCTTCCAAGAACTGCTTCGAATTCTCACCGAACAGAGAAGGGAGAAGAAAAGAAATAAATTAAAATAAAAAGGTCGCTGGACTCACAGGGGTTTGAACCCTGGACCGCTCACAAACATCGCAAGATGCAAAGCGAGAATGCTACCACTGCACCATAAGCCCACAAAATAGTCTATTCTAGATCTGGATACTATCAGATCCTGTCGCTCCGGGACGCACGATTGGTTCGCAAAACCAAGAAAGGATATTCAGACGACGATGGAGACTTGGAACGACTGCTCCGATTCTCTATCCACCTCCTTCATCGCCCTGAGCGCTATTCCGGTCTTTCGTTCGTTCGCTTTTCATCCTTTTTAGTGTTACCTTTTTCTCCTTCCTCAAATCCTCCTGCTACTTCCTCTCGCTGCCCCCTGCTCCCCCCATCGCTGTCATTTACCCACGCTCGTTCTATCTTTTATGATCTTAATTTCCGCTCTTTACCACCGCACCCTAAAATCTCGTGAATCCTGGCAGGGAGTGTCGGTCGCAAAGATTCTTCATTGATCCGTTTTCCTCCCACCGCCTCGCGCTTTCTCCCTCCCTCCTGTCAAATTGCGCGCCGCGCTGGCGAGCACAGATGATGCACAGGGAAAAATCACAAATACAACAAAATCGCAGCCTCATCATCTTCCCTCCACCCGCCTGTCGTGGAATTTGTGTCCATGGTCCACCAACCAATCCGGCTCAATCTCGGTGATGATTCGAATTCTGGATTATCAAGGTCACCATCAGGTATATCTTCAATGCGAACAAACTGACTGAGTCTTTTTTGTCTCTTCCATCTCGTGAAAGACCACCCAGCCTGAGCGAGGTTTGCGTGTGAAAAGGACCGATGTTGGATGTACATGCAGTGTCTGCGATGGCTTTCAGTGCGCGCGTAACGCCAAGAAATAATCGTTCGTACCCGATTGCCCCTCACAGATCGATATGTCCCGTCGGCGACCCATCTCGCTCCGTTGCGCCAATACCCACTGACGAGGCACTGCCGTAGCCGTTTTGCGTCCCCTTCACAGCTTTCAATCGGCAAGTTGAAGCGCTGCATATATTTTTTAAGCTGCGAACGAATTGAAACCGCGCGTGACATGGCGCGAAATGACAGCGCGTGTGATTTGCACCAACCCGAGGAGCGTCCATATCGCGTAAATGCATTGTAGGCTAAGGAAACGTTAGAAAGGGCAAGAAATGGACTAAAAGACCAGCCATTTAGTAGTGTGAGATGGTCCTGCCCAAGCCAGTCAGTCACGCGTCAAGCACAGAGATATGAATATAATGACCCCTTCTTCGGCAGTAAACTTTCGTCGTTCAAGCTCGGCCAAGGCACCGGGACCGCCGTCAGGAATAACAAAGACGTCCTAGCTGCTGTGAATAATAGTTAAACAAGAAAAGGAACAGCGTACCTGTACCGAGGTCATTGCGGCGATGGTGAGGATCTCTTCTCCGCACTTGAGTTCCTTCGAATTAAACAACTAGACTCGCGGTGGGTTATAGAACAATACGACACAGCAGCTACTCACCATTCGCGCAACACCGACTTCAACGGGGCACTCTGCAACCTGCTCTCCTATTAGAGTCAATCGACCGTCCTCACCTATCATCCCTGCCGCGACGAGACCCTCCAACGCTCTCAAGACACTTTCTGCCGGTGGGGCCGATACCCACTCAAATTTCATAAGGTCGTCTATGCCCAGTGACTTGAGTTGCAAGATCGGTGTGGTCATGTCTGTCCGGGTAATTTCGGGCGGGGTCGACAGAGGAAGAGAGTTGAAAGCAGATATTGGGTAGAGGCGATAGCAGACACCGGGAGAAGTACGTCCAGCTCGGCCAGCTCGCTGTGTAGCCGAGGCAACAGAGGTTGGTACAGTTGCTAAAGAGGCAAGTGCGGTCGTTGGATTGTACACTCGGATCTGGGGAATAAATTTGAAATCGGCAGACTAGATTGGGACGGCACCGACCTTGACGAAGCCGCAGTCAACTACGAACTTGATTCCCTCGATGGTGACGCTCGCCTGGACGAGAAGTTCAGCGACGTTGCAAACACTCTCCGGTCGAGTTCACCTCGGCAATATTGGTGGATATGATGACTTTGCGAGTACCCCGCTCAGCGGGCTCAAAGACCCGTAATTGTTCATCCGTAGATAACCCAGCATGAAGGGCCAACGGGACGAGACGGGTGGCAGTTCTGGGGAGTCTAGGAGGAGGGTGAGAACACTTTTGAACCGAAAATCATGCCACCGACGTCGGCAGCAAGTCTGAAAATTCTTCGAGACATCTTTCGATATCTTCTCGACCCGTTAAAAATATCAAGATGTCACCAGCACCTTGCTGAAAAGAGGTCAATAATAAGGGACGAAGGACATGTGCGGCGCTTCTACCTGTAGGTTAATGTTCCAGGCAACTTCAGCCGCTTTACGGACGTAGTCTGGAGCGGGTTCTTGGAGATACGCGACTTCTACAGGATACATTCGACCTTCGAGGCTAACAATAGTGGCCTCCTCTGGCGAGGTTGAGGCTGTGAAATAATCAAGAAAAGAGGTGGCGTCTAGAGTCGCAGAGGAGACGATTAGCCGGAGAGATGGTCGTTTCCGTCGGATTCTGGCAAAGATGAGGCCGGGTTCTAACCAGTTGGAAAGGGCGTACTTTTTCAAAACACCAAGCAGGAGGTCAGTATAAACGCTACGTTCGTGAGCTTCGTCAATCTTTCTCAAATCAGGGTGCCAAAATCACAAATTGCTGGTTGTAACTCACCATAATTACGCTGTATCGACTCAGCAGGGGATCGACCAGTGTTTCGCGAAAGAGCATCCCGTCTGTCATGTAGAGTATCCGGGTCCGCTCCTTGTCGCTGACATCTTCAAACCGAATGGTGTATCCAACCTGAGAATGTCATAAACGCGGTGCAAGAAAAAGAACGCGTTGCACTCACCTCGTCGCCAAGAATAGACCCGACTTCAGAAGCTACCCTACCAGCAACCGAGGTCGCCGCAACACGGCGAGGTTGGGTGCAAGCGATAATGTTGCCATTCCCTGCCCAGCCAGATTCCAGGAGATATTGCGGCAGTTCTAAGGTGGCGTCAGACTGCGACGGATGGGTGTCGAGCACGAGTCTTTACGAGTGGTTTTGCCGCAACCTGTCTGGCCAACCACGATGATCACGCCGTGCTTTTCCACCGCGTAGAGCAGTTTGTCCCCTGAAACGACGCGGTTCAAGATGGCGTCTCGACGAAGAACGCGGGATACGTGCGATGCTTGAAGATGGGAAGGCGTTCGCGTTGGCTTTGGATGGACAAGGTGGATATCGCAGAGGGAACAGCGTAGCCTTCTCCCTCAGTCTCGCGGTCCAAGCTGCTTCCGGGTGCGGTAGTACCGGGTTTCCAAAACTGCATGATGGTCCGGAGCAAGGGTTGTTTGTTCGCCTCCATGTCGTGTTCTTTCAATTACTCTCAACTTTCGCGTTCGGCGGGCTATGGTCGTTTACAACATATATCTCATCCGGCTGACAGAGTACATTTCCTGTTTTTTCGTCGGACAACGTGATCGCGTTTCCACCTTTCTCTGAGTCTCTCTCTGTCTTCACTCGCGCCGTCAGATGCAATGTGTTCCTTGTACATTTCCTATGAACCTCTCCACCCACCACCACCACCACCACCGCCGCCACCCCGCGCGCCGTACCCTCCGCGACCGCCCCCGCCTCCCCGACTAAAGCCACCGCGATCACCGCCGCCACGAAAGCCACCACCACCCCGGCCGCGGTCAAATCCGCCCCGCCCACGGTCTCCGAAGCCCCGTCCTCCTCCTCGCGGTGGTCCACCTCTTTGGAATCCTCGTCCACCAGCGCCTCGTCCCCCACCCCTCCCGCCCGGTGCTCCTCGGCCGCGCGCGCGTTCTGTAAAAACTTAAGTGGTCCGTCGGACAATAGAGCTGGGAACTGCTCACTGGTAACACCTGGTGAATTTGACGATGATTAGCGGCCTTGTTAACGAAATTACTGCGACGAACCTCCGGCGATTTTTGGTTTTGGCAGAAATCGGTCTATCGGTAGGAGCTTGTCTCCGCCAATATAGACTTTATCTCCCTTTTTGAAGCTGCTCGCGACCATCCCGTCTCCCATTTTTATTGAAAAGTAGACTTCATTGATTGGCCCCAGAATTTCGTCGACCTTGCCGATGACCGACTTGTTTTGCAGGTAGATGGGAGCGTTGAAGTAGGGTACTTTGTCCGGCATCAGCGAAGAACACAGCATTTCATCCTCAACAGCGTGGACGAAAGTGCCCATCTCTGGGGCCGCACGTTAACACTATGAAAAAGTAGAACCGAAAATTTATACCCAAAACTGTGTCTGGCGGACCGAAGTCGCGTTGCTGGTAGCCTCCCCGACCACCACCGCGGCCTGTGAAGGATTAGAAAAGTACATTTCATGTGGCTCAACTGCGCCCACCTCCGCCGCCTCTGAAGCCTCCTCGAGATCCTCCACGGTTCATGCTAAAATGTTAGTTTGGTTGCATTATAATTCCCTGGCTTTGACTTCTGCCGTAGGTTGCATCTGTTTGGCTTTGCCTTCCACCGGCTATAATCCTGCTCCCGGTCAACCGGGACCGCGAACACTTTTCTATGGGCCTGCTCAATCCTCGACCGTCTGTTGAGACGGCCTTCAAAATCAATCCTGTTCCACAATATCGCGGATCTGACGTCGCTTTGCTTGGAAAACACCTATGGTCCTTGCTATGTCCCGAGTTGAACGATTCCCAACGCGTCTACGTTTCTGCCACTTCGCGGCAAGGCACAAGCCATGGACTGTTTAGCGTAGCGTTTTGGGCCGCTCTGGGCGAGCAGGTATAGTTGTTTGAACGAACCCACCCCAGCAGAATACTCAACCGTCTCCCTCAGACCGACAATCTCGCTGTTCCTCCTTCCTGGCCAACGACTTACCGCCGTGTATTTTCCCTCGACAACGCGTCCGTTACCCTGAGCGTGCAGCAGCCCATACTCATAACTGAGCTCGTCGTGTCGGCTCTATCACTGGAGGCATATGAAGCCGGGTCCGATGCACTGGACTCGTGGCTCGCTGACGAGCAGATATTGCGCCAGGGAGACATATGCACCTTCACTTTGGAACCAATGATCAA